GTGTTGAAATAGAACAATTGCATGACCAAGAAATGTTTGAGATGGTTGAAAAGGGTATGAGAGGTGGAATGTGTCAAGTCAGTCATAAATTAGCAGTGGCAAATAATAAGTATATGGGGGAAGCATATGATGAGAACAAGCCATCAAATTATATTAGTTACTTGGATGCGAATAACTTGTATGGCTTAGCAATGTCCCAGAAGTTACCGCTAAAAAATATCAAGTGGACAAAGAAAACTCCCATTGTTGAAAAATGGAATGAAAACGATGAGTTCGGTTATATTATGGAAGTTGATTTGGAATATCCCGAAACATTGCACGACTTCCACTCTGACTATCCACTAGCGCCTGAAATAATGAATGTAAATGTGAATATGCTTTCCGATTATCAAAAGCAAGTCTACAAAATATATTATGATGGTAAAAGTCCCAAGGACGAGAAAACAAGTAAGTTAATATTAAATCTAAAGGATAAAGAAAAATATGTGGTTCATATTAAGACTTTACAGTATTATTTGAAAATGGGAATGAAAATGGGTAAAGTCCATAGGATAATAAAATTTCAACAGAGGGCATGGTTGAAACCGTGGATTGATTTCAACACTGGTAAAAGGAAAGAAGCCAAAAGCGATTTTGAGAAAGATTTATTCAAATTAATGAATAACGCGGTGTACGGAAAAACTATGGAAGACAAGCGAAACCATATGGATTTTGAATTAGTTGATAATGAGGTAAGATATGAAAAATGCGTTAATAATCCAACATTCAAAAACAGATTTATTATTAATGAAAACCTGGTAGGAGTTGAAAAAACTAAAGCGAAACTGAAACTGGATAAACCGATTTTCTTAGGAATGAGCATTTTAGATTTAAGCAAATTACATATGTATCAGTTTTATTATGATGTATTGAAAAAGAAGTATAATGAAAACATCAAACTGATATATACTGATACTGACAGTTATGTAATTCAAACAATGACTGATGATGTCTATAAGGATTTCAACGATATAAAGCAACACATGGATTTTAGCGACTATCCTGTTGAGCATCCATGTCATGACAAAACTAATAAAAAGGTCTTAGGAATGTTTAAGGACGAATGCTCTTCAAAGATAATTACCAAATTCATAGCTCTCAAACCTAAATCTTATGCCTTCACAATTCACGGCGAGGATGATGAACATAAGAAATCAAAAGGTGTAGTGAAACACAAAGTTAAAAAAGAACTGTCGTATCAGAACTACCACGAAGCATTATTTCAAAACAAAAAGCATGAAATAACATATAATTTTATTAGGAGTAAGTCACATCAAATATATTCAATGTCTCAAGTCAAGCAATCTCTCAGTAATTATGAAAACAAAAGGTTTTATATTGATGCTTTCACTTCATTGCCTTATGGACATTACGCTATTACAAAGTAATAGCCTAATGAGCTTCGCGACATTACGCTATTACAAAGTAATAGCCTAATGAGCTTCGCGACATTACGCTATTACAAAGTAATAGCCTAATGAGCTTCGCGACATTACTCCATAAAATAATTATCTAAATAGTTCTAATAATATGAAATTATTAGAATTATTTTCAGGGACAGGTTCGGTTGGTGGGGTTGCTCGGGATTTGGGTTTTAGTGTCATTTCCCTTGATTTGAAAAATGCAAATATCAATGCTGATATTTTGAGTTGGGACTATAAACAGTTCGGGGTCAATGATTTTGATGTGATTTGGGCATCTCCTCCATGCACTGAATACAGTCGTGCTAAAACCGTTGGTGTCCGTAAGATTGATTATGCTAATAGTATCGTTTTAAAAACCCTTGAAATTATAGATTATTTTAAACCAAAATACTGGATAATAGAAAATCCTCAAACAGGATTATTAAAAGAACAACCGTTTATGAGTGGTTTAAACTACTATGATGTGGATTATTGTAAATACGGGTTTAATTATAGGAAGAGAACAAGGTTGTGGTCAAACATTGAAACTTGGAAACCTAGACCATTATGTAATAGGGATTGTGGGAAAATTAGGAATGGGAAACATTTAGAAACTGCTCAACGGTTGCCATCGGGAAAGAAATCAGATTGGGGTGAGGGATACATTAAACATAAACAAGATGACCTATATAAAATTCCTACTGATTTGATAAGCGAGATATTTGTTTATTTTAGGGAAGGGACATAGGAAAAACAACAAAGGCCTCAAACACAATAGTTAATCCCATCCCACCGTCAAACCTAGTAGAAGTCAGTCTTGTAGCGTTCGGTCGGTGAGGGGTCCCAAATGGAGGGGTCAAGGGGTCCCAAATGGAGGGGTCAAGGGGTCCCAAATGGAGGGGTCAAGGGGTCCCGTGTTCGTGGGACTGGGAGTCCCGTGTTCGTGGGACTGGGGGTCCCGTGTTCGTGGGACTGGGGGTCCCGTGTTCGTGGGACTGGGGGTCCCGTGCCTGTGGGACTGGGGGTCCCGTGTTCGTGGGACTGGGGGTCCCGTGTTCGTGGGACTGGGGGTCCCGTGCCTGTGGGACTGGGGGTCCCGTGCCTGTGGGACTGCGCCTTATCGCTGATGAGATTGAATACGGGTCAAATTAACTTTTGTTTATTAATATTGTTATCTTATAATATGATTAAACATTGTTTTATAATCTAAAAAGAAGGTTAAGACATTTAAATTAAACCTGAAACCCAGACCAGCCGACCAGCAACCCCCTAGCCAAAACTACTTAAAGAAATATTACCTTATATATTAAGAGAAAAATGAACGGTGATGGAATCAATAATTATATCGATAAAAAATGCTATGATTGTTGTCACTTCAAAAAAGAAAATATGGAATTGTATAAATTGAGTTTACCTAATGAAATAGTGAATAATATTATTAATTATTCAATGGATGGTGAAGAAGACATATGTAAAAATTGTAAAACTTGGAGAGATAATCAATTTTTAATCAAATGTCTGTTGGGAATAAAAAGAATACATAATAGAAATGTAGAAGATGATATTTTAATATTTCTAACTGTAAATAAAATACCACCTTACGATTATGTTAAACAGTTTCTTAAAATCAGTAAGAAAAAATATGACACGATTTACGATATATTATGGATGTTGGGTTATAGTCAAGAGAAAGGAGAAGATGTTAAAGAAAATATCAAATTATTTATTGAAAGTAAAAAGTTTAATGTTCAGAATACAGTGAGAGATGTTAATATTATTTTTAAAATGATGTATGAAAGAAGTAAGACAAACCAATTAGATTATTATCCTGAACTGAAATTATAATCATAATATAATAATAACATGTAAAATCTTATATGTTATAATTATACTGAACTTTTAACCTATAAAACCCCTTAAACTTATCTAAATAAATAACCCCTTAAACATATAGAGACCAATGACAGACAAAAAGCAATGTTCCAAATGTAAAGTCTTTCAATTGTTAGAAAAGTTCAACGAGGGAAGAAAACAATGTAATGTATGCTTGGAGAGCAAACAACGGTATAGAGAAGCACACAAAGAACAAATACAGCAAAAGTCAAAGGAGTATTACGAAAACAACAAAGAGCAGATTGTAGAGAAGAAAAAGACATATAGAGAGAATAACAAAGACACTATACTGGAAAAGAACAAGATTTATCGTGAAAAGCATAAAGACGAAATAAAGCAAAAATCAAAAGAATATAGAGAAAATAACAAAGAAGACATAAATGAAAAACAGAAAGACTATAACCAATTGAAAGTAGAATGTCCTTTATGTAAATGCTTGGTAGGAAAATACAGAATGAAAAAACACCAACAAACAAGTAAGCACCAACTAAGAGTGAAAGGTCAAGAAAACAATAACGATACTGTGAGAGATTACATGGAAACAACAAGTGACTTTGAACAAGAATAGGAATAAACAAATGAACCACCAACACCCCAGAACATAATAACTACTAAAAGGGCCAACTCTTTCAAATGAAAAAAATGTCGGCCCCCAGAAAATCCACCCCTAACACCCTACAACAAAATATAGGATGAAATCAAACAAGGGTGTTAAAACGTTGGATAACAACATTTGACCCAATAACCCCAACACTCCTCCCTCTTCCCCCCAGGCCCCCTGTTTTCTCCATTTTTCCCCCCCCCCCCGCATCCGTCCAAAGAGGCCCTAATCCTTCCAATGGAGGTCCGGTTCGAGCCCTTCACTTACGGATGCTTGGGCCTAGCCCTAGGGAGACTCACCAAACACTCACTTGCCCAAAGGACCTGCAAATCAAAGGTGATCACCTTTTGGGACTACTAAAAATAGGCCCAACAGTTGGGAAACCAAAAGGTTTCAGATTCGGTCGATTCGCTTTGAAGTGGAGTGAAGAACATGGGAACTTGGAGTGGGGGTTGCTCAAAGTTAAACAGGAGGGGTTACGCTGGTTTTGGTCCATGTTTCCGGTTTTTTGAGCCACAGCCGAGTGAAGCACCAAGGTCCAAGGTGGCCTTCAAAAGACCTTGACGCGGTGGATTTGTCACTCTTTGAACGAGCTCGCAAGTGGATTTGGAACTTCACGCCCAAACCAGAGCTCTGCACCTTTCTGTGTGTTTCATTCGCCAAGTTAGTTGGTAACAGAAGTTATCACCCACTTCTAAGCCTCCTTAAGTGGGGTTAACCCAGCCAGCGTCGGTTTATATCCCATTTGGCTATACCACTTACTAGATTGGTGAATCGAATATTCAAGTATGAAGCGACAGGCCCCCACTTCAGCGACCAAAAGAACTTGTTTCTATGGGTGGGTTGCGGCAGCGGGACCCTTTGACCCTGAGGAGCCCTTGCCTTGGTAGAGGTAAATCAGAGGGGAGAGTTCACCAGTGGAAAGGAAATGGAGGAAACCCTGTCAGTGATATGTTTTCTTTTTGCGAGAGTACCAACCCTTTGTTTTCAGGTTCTTTAGGGGAAACTGTAACAGGACCGCCCAATTTGGGGCGTGTGACTCCCAACAGAAGGCGGCTCTCCGCAGGCTCCTTCCGGCGCCTGCTCATGCAGGAAGCGGCCGACCAAGTGGAGGAGGGCCGGTCGAAGATTTTTCTGCCGCGGACTGGTCAATGGGAACCTGGATCGCCAGTTGCTGATCTTGTTGTTTTTTTTCTCCATGCACTCAAAACCCCAAAAACCGATCGTGGTGCAGTGACGAAAAAAAGAGCTGTTTCGCAACTGGGCGATTTCTGGGGGTTTAGTTGCTTCCCGCGTTGCCATGGCAACTGACAGACGGTCCACTTCAAAGGGAAAAACAACTAATTAAAAAAAAAAGAAGAAGGAACAAAAAAAAAAAAAAAACCGCGGCATTTTTACTTGGGTACGTGTCGAAATAAAAAAAATCCATGTGAGGTGAGGCATGGGCTGGTCCATGTTAAGACCCACAACTCTTAGAGCCTGAGGGTATTATGGCCGCCTTATTTGTGAACCCATGTGGTTTACTCCAGTTATTACCCTCCTCCACGGCATGACTTCTCGTGACTTCTCGTGACCCTTCACTAAAGGGTCCAATCGAGCTTAGGGTGTGCAAACTGTCCAAAGCCGACCTTTTGACCCTTTAGTCTTCCAGAGTGCTACTGTGGGTGGACGGAATCCTGCACCACTTTGAAACAATGGGGAACAATCATTTGTTGGTATTTACAGGGGAATGATTTCTTCGGTGGGTGCAGGATTTCGCAACCATCCACAGTATCGGGTTGCCTTTTGGAAGAACCTCTCACAGGACGGCTCGTTGCTGGAGCTCTTTCAGCTCGCCGCCGCGGAGATCCTGAAGCGACGCCCGGCTTTCGCGGGATTTTTGTCGCAGGATCTGAGCCCCAAGCATCGAACGGGCTGCAAGAGGACCTCTTCGATTTGCTTAAAAAGATATTGGGATTTGTTCTGGTTGGTTTTATCGGGAATCTATCACAACTGGGCATGTATGTTTTGTTTTTTTCCAGTGGACTTCTCAGCAAATGGAAGTCCTGAGATCCGACACCTTTCAATGCAGTGGCCCTTCACATGGAGCGTCCAAAAGCACTGAATCAGGACCTTGTTCAGGCTACGTTTGGGCCAGTCAAAGGCTTCAGAGTGATCCTCTTGCAAAGCAGATGCCTGGATCGCCAGTTGCGCTCGCTTTTTTTCCATGCACTTTACCACAAAAACTGATCGCAACAGTGACTGAACAAAGCTGCAACCTGGAGTCTCCATGGCCCTTTAAACATGGCTGAATGACCCTGGCTATCTAGGTGGTTGTGGGATGTATCTTCCGAACCCAGCGAATCCCCGCATCCACCACATGGCGACGACATGAACAGGGGGAAATGCTCGAACGAAGAGGTGGTGTCCACAACTTCCCAGGTGAATGATGCTCACTCCGAGTTAGTGGTGGGTCACCTGCTTTTTTCACCTGGCTGTCTCCTCTTACACGGTGACCTATTATAGTTGACCCAGAAATTGCTGCTTGCTGGGCACACTCAAGTAGCTTCAATGTCTTGGGAACTTCAAAGTGTTCCTTGAGGTGAGTTTCCTGCGTCTTTTTTTGAAGGATGGTTCCCTCTCCGCGCTAGTCGAGGGCTTTCAGCCCAAGAACCTACGAGGACTTCCCTAAGCAAAAGGGCTTGTGAAATGGAGGCAAAGCTCATTTTCGTGCTCGACATCCCCAAATAGTATACCACACATCGTATGCCTTGATTCCTAGGCCGTTTAATGCCCTTCTATACCCATTTTTGCATTCGATATACACCTGTTGGGGGGAAAAATCGCATGCGACATGTTTCCTTCCTGAAATGACGCTCCCTCGTCACCCGAACCCCCCGGGTCTTTGGCAGTCTCGCGCCTCGACGGCGAAAGCCCGATCCGAGCAGAGTCCATTCTTAGACTCTTAGACTTCCTGAGTATGCTTTTTGAGGTAAACACGCTTTTTGCTTTTTGCGGTAAATAAGTGCAGACTTTTGTTGGGCAATCTACTCAGGAAGTGAGTTATACATGGTGGGTAGGCTTGCTTCTGCCCATTTCCTTTCAAAATCTCGCTTTTGCGGTACCTCTTTCACCCTTTGCCTTAGGAATCTTCCTTTCGGAGTTGGGCGGATGGCTTTTGTGGGTTCCCTTCAAGGCAAACCACTATAACACCATTTTGGGGGTCCAAATCCTTATTTTTGGCATGCACATGCCTATTTGGGATCGGAGCCTCCTTGTTGGAGCTGGCTTCCTGGACTTTGAACTTTTCGAGTCTGCCGGTGCTTCTCCAGCTGAAAGCTATGGAGTCGATAGGCCCACTTGGGCTCCGTATAGTAGCTCGGAGTGGGCGTTTCCTGGACCCTCCAATGCCAACTTAAACACCTGGATCGATCGCCAGTTGATCTTGTCTTTTTCCCATGGACTTCACCCCCAAAAACCGACAACAGTTACAGTGACTGAAAAAAAAACAAAAACAACTGGGGCCATCTAGGCGTGGGCTATCTAGGCTCCAGAGTGGGGTGAGGTTTCCCTTTTCGATGGGCTCCTACGGGTCCAGGTGGTAGGCTTCGGGGTAGACGGCTCCGGCCCAAACGGCCGCATGGAGTGAGGCCGAGGGGTCCGGAAGTTTCACATGTTGGGAGCCTGGGTGAGCGTTTCTTTCTTGGGCCAGGTGCCCTTTTATAGGCCTTTTTTGGTTGGCAGGGTTTTCCACTAAAATAATTCGACAAACCAGCAAAAAGTGGGTACCAACTTATTCTAAGCTCTCAAACCTGGAGGACCTAGGAGCGTTTGGCTTGGGTTCCAACTGTATGGAGCGCTTGTTGCATAGTGCAAGAAGCTTTGGACTCCGGGGCCCTTTTTCTCCGTGGTTGCCGTGGATTTTGGGGTCCGTTGACAAAGGCCAAGCCCCTAAAACCCAAAATCTCCAAGTTGAGGTGTTTGAAATCAAGAGCCACGCTCCAAATTTCAGAGCCAGGACATCGCAGACTCTCCTTCTACTTTCCCATGTAATTACCAGAACACCCCATTCCGGGCCCCTATTTTTGTTTTTGAGCACCCAGATTTAGGCTCCTTGTGAGGCCCGTGCTTGGATGCTCAACCTACGTCAGGTAAGTGGGATATAACCAAGGTTGTATCTGGGGTAACTGGGGTTAATTCGCTTATAACCAGTACCTGGACCCTCCAACTACTCATCAAAACGGAAGACACTCACAACAATTGTGGGCACAATTGTGGGTTGCAACTTCCCGCAATTTTTCGGAACTGACATCTTGAGGGTCCAGGTGGCCATTCAAAAACAGGCAGACCCCCAACAAAAAACGCTTCTTTCGGTTCAGGGCCGGAAAACTCGAGCCCTTTGGGTGGAACCAACTTGCATTCCTCGTCTCCGGCTTCGGCTTCAGCTGAGCCACAATCAAAACCTGGGCAGATGAAGGTTAAGGGACAATCCCAACCATAAATCGCTGCGGATATCCGCCTTCTTAATTCCTGAAGCATGGTTCTAGGTAGACCATTTTAGTACCAGCCTAGATAGCCAAGTTGCGATCGTTTTTTTTTTTCCAGTTCCTGCTGCGATCGGTTTTTGGGGTATTGAGTGCATGGAAGAGAGAAACAACAAGAAGAACGAAACCGCCACTGGCGATCCAGGTTGGGTTTTGAGCAAGTGACTCTGGGTAACCACTTTAATGCTGATTAAATGACAACTGGTTTACCTTAAAAGACAACTGGTTTGCTGCAGGGGGTACCAGGCAAGCAAAACCGGGTTTTGATTGATTAATGACACCCGGGGGTTTTGACTACTCGGGTGTCATTTTACCGGGTTTTGAGCTTCAGACTGAGCTGCAGACTGCCCGAGGACGGGAGGAGATGGGTTTCGAGGAGGCCACGGAGCTGCTGATGGGCTTCAGCATCCTCGTGCAGCCGCTGGACCAGGCGCGACAGCGGACGCCGCAGAGCGGTTGGAGGGGGGGGGGGGCCGTCTCTTGGGGCCGGGTGGTGGTGTTGTTACGGATTTGGGGGGAAATTTTGTATCCTCTGGACGCGAGTCTTCGGAGAAATTGGGGTTGGTTTTTTGAGTGTGGAACTTTGGGATCATCTAAGAAGGGAGACCAAGCAAGCCAGCGACAGCCTGACGTCGTTCGCTTCCCTTCGGGTGCGGGAAGGTTGGTAGACAGGAACCGTTCGCCGAGGAGACGATTGGAAGGCCATCCAGTGCAGACATGGCAAGTAACGCTTGTGGACGGTGAGGCCACGAGCATCCGGGCTACATTTTAGGGAAGCCAGCCTGTGTGTCTAAGCCAGCTACCCTTCCTCCCACTATCATAGCATCTGTGGGAGGGTACCTGAAAGAGCGATTTCCTCTTCAATGGGCCCTGTGTGAGGTGCCATGGCAACGTGGGAGGGAGTGCAATGCCATGAGAGAGAACTGTGTCTTTTTCCACACTCTCCCAAACACCCAAGGCCCTTGCTTCCTTGGAGTGGGCGTTTTCAAATGACCTAACACGAAAAAATCGGTATGTGAGGGGCTTCTCTCAGAACGAGGAGTCTCCTTGTGGCTTCACGTTGAACCAACCCCAAAAAGGGTACCTGGACCCTCAAGCTACCCTGAAAAAAGGGGATGTTGTTTCATAATTTGGCGGATTGAATGTCATTCGGCGAAGAACATCCTCACTTTTCAGGGATTTTGGGGCCACAAAAAAGGCGCACCCAAAGCTCCCGCGTTGCGCGCCCTAGCCACGAAGACCCCCTCACGGGTCGATCCGGCTCGACCGATCCCAGGATGCGCTGAGCCGAAGCTGCGCCGTTGTGGCGAAGGCGGCGGCCGCTGAGGACGGGTGAAAAAGCGGTCTCTGTCTGAGAGCTCCTGTATACCTGAACCCTCAAAATTCCCCTAAAAAGGGGTTTGACCCCAACAATTATGGGGTGATATCCCATTTTTGTGAGTAGTTTGAGGGTCCAGGTATCCCCTGTGGATCCATTTACCTGGTTTTCTAGGGGTTGATTCCTCGTCCATTCTTTTCAGCCATCGTTCTTTCCAAAAACCGTCCGTTTTCCCTGGGTGTCCGGAGGTTGTCTAGAAAGAAGGATCCCTGGAAAAAGAATGGGGAAGGTGGCACAATGGGGTTTTGCAGGTAACCAGGGCTTGCCAGCCTTGAAAAACCCAAAGGAAAATGGCGAAAGGGTTGGTTACCTAGACTATACGTAGCGGTAGCTTGCATTTTCCCACCTGTTCCCTCCGAATGGCTTAAATGTTGGTATAATGGTAAACACCTATTTGGGTTGTGTGGGTTAAGACCGAGAAAGTGACTTTTCCGAGAGCGTCTCAGCGTCTTTGACAGTTTCTGGGGCTTAGGGAGCATCCAGCATTGCGCATAGCACACCCCCACGGGTCGTTGGGTGCCGTGAGACACGTGACATTGTGAGGGCCCAAGATCCACCACCCTCAGAGAGTAAATGTCCTATTCACCGTGTTCACCACAAGTTCTGAGTGGTTGCTTCTTTTTTTATGGGTATGTTCAGGGTCCAGCTAGGCAGCAAATGGGTTTTTAGGGCTCTCAAGGAGAACTTACCTCTGAAGAGAACCTCAAGATTCCGAAAAAGACCCTTGAAAGTGCCGTGGTTGCCAAAAGCAGATCGGCCCTGTGACCTTTTGCTCATCCTTTGATTTATGTCATTCCAGGCCACGACGGAAGATATTCAGGGTACTGCGGCTGCATTATTTAATCTCAATGAATCGGTTACCAAGCCAACACAGAAGCTCAACCTGCCCAAGCCGCGTTGATGGCTCGCCTTGGGCAGTTCAGCTCGCCGGTGAGTCAGAAGTCCCTAGAACTCCCGTTTCGGCGGGTGGTTGTTAATTTGCACATCGCCTTCCTGGTAGGGGTGGTGTTGAAGGGGGGGGAAAAATTGAACCACTGGAGCACCAAGAATGTAGGGTTCCTTGTTTCAACAGAATGGCAAGGATCCAATTTGGATGACAATCCTTACAGAAATGGTGGTGAAATATGACCCCAACCATTGTTTGAATGGCTGTTGTGTTTTTAGCTATCCCCTTAGAATTCAGCCCAGCATGGTTCGAGTTTATGGTTTAAATTTCAGGGGAGGCTACCCTTTGTTTGCATCTTGTTTGGCTAGGTCCCCCAGTAGTGCCCGTTTACCATTTCCTTTTTTGGGGGAGGGTTCCCCTACTAAAATAGACTACAGAAAAATTCGGGTATCCTTGTTCTAACCTCTCAAATCTGGAGGACCTAGTTGGGTCACTGAACCGGGAAGATGGGAATTCACCCCATAGCTTTGGGGCAAGAACCACTTGGATCGCCAGTTGCGACCGCTTTTTTTCCATGCACTTTACCCCCAAAACCAGCACCAGTGACTGGTAAAAGGCTATCTAGGCCCACAGTTTTGGGGCGAGAACCAATTGTTAAAGGGGAGATTGCGGGTTCAGGTCATGGAGCTACTCTTCACGCATTCCCAGAGCTTCCAGTTACTATAGTAGGTAACCAGGGGAAAGCCTCCATGGTAAAACGTAGTAGAAATCCAGAAGGTTCGCCTGGGACCTGGTGGCGTGCGCGGAAGCACTGGGCTTGCGAAGGCGCAGAAGCGGTTGTAACGGGTCACTCTGGGGCTGGCGTCGGAGAGGTCCTTGCATTGCCATGATTAATAGGAAGAGCATGGAAATGGTCCTGCTTTAAACATGGTTGTTATTGGGAAACATTGCACATTTTTGCTTGTTGTGGTTTAGTGGGAAAACCCCACTTAACTGCTAATTTTGAATTGTTGCTCCCCTTCCAACGTCAACCAAGTAAAGGTTCCCCCCCCAAGAAAAACAAGAAGAACGAGGCACCCAGTACGAAACACGCGCACTGATCAATCCGAAGTTCACGTCCAGGAGATGGCCCCGGCATATCTGGCCCACTGCTTCTACACGCTCACTGCGCTGTACCTGGCAGGCGAGACCCGTATGACGTGTTGAAACCAAACCCAAGCCATAGGTGTCCTTTTTGGTAGATTTGGTTGAAAAATAGAGGGCCCTGGTTTACCTGGGAATTCAATCAACAACCAGGGCCATCTATTTTCAAAAAGGACACCTATGACCCAAGCTGTTCCAAAAGCTTCCCCAGAACTAGCTCCCTTTTCGATTTGTTCCTTTTTGGGGTGCCCTTTGTTGTCCACTAACCTGGCAAAAACCATAGCTTGCTGCTGGGGTCCTAATTCCAGTCAAGAAAGAAGAACAAGCCCAAGAGTACAGATTCGGTTGACCAAAGAGCAGAGAATTGGTTGGGGACCAAATCTTGACCCGAGCCGATTCAGGTGGGAAAAGATGACGACCAAGCCCAAGTGCGGAGAGTGGGATGAAGGAGTTCCTTTGGTTTTGGCTGCCTTTCAAGGACCCCATGATTTTTCTATGGCCACTCCTGGTAAACCATCGGGGCTTGGAACGGCCCGATCGATCCTATGGTGAAACATGCGACTCAGCCCATTGACTCGGGTCAGACTTGGAGATTCCAGGTTTGAACCGAAGATGTTCCGCCTCCTTTTTAGGTGGACGTTTATAGGGGACATAGAAAGACCTGAGTTTTAGGGTGGAGACTTTGAAGGCCGCTATGCCCATGTGAATGGATACACAAACGATGGTCATGCATCCTTACAAATGCCCAGAGTGATACAAAAGTGTTTTTTGGCGATACAAAGGCGTTTTGTGCCGAACCCTGTTCTAGGCAGGTGTCCCAAGGGCGCTTTTTGATGGAAACGACTAAAATTTATGTACTTACCCCAAAAAGCGAACATTCTCCACTCCGGGTTTTCTAGGTATGGCCATGGTTACTGATCTTGCGTGACGTCCGGCCATGGTGGCCAAGTTGGTCGGGGTCCATTTGAGATGCCAGCCACGCACCTGGGCGGTTGCAGTGGCCAAAGGCGTCAGGTCACAAAGTGAGCCACACGCCAACACGACTCGCGCAACGCGCACAGCTTGAAGGCTTTCTGTGTGTGCAGGTTTCTTTCTCACGGACGAACGAGGCTTCCCTATAGTGGTGTTTGTTTCTGCTCCCCCGCGTGGCTTGAAATGAATTCTCATGAATGCGCGTTGCGACAAGTGAACCCCGACCTGTGTTGACGAGGATTAGGCGCCCCTTTGCAGTGGACAACCGGCCATTTAGATTTGGTCCTCTGAAACACCCATGTCTTTCCTTTCCCGGTTCCCACTTCTTCGGCCCCATGCCCCGATCTGTTTTTACCAGTGAATTCAGCGCCGCAATGTCGATGAGGTAGTGTGTTGCTGATCTTTCAAAGGGATTCAGTGGCATCTTCTGTTTCCTGCTTGAGGTGTCCTTTATTGTCCCTTTAAAGTTGTGGGGGGGGGGGCAAAACGTATGGGTTCCAAATCCCTTTTTCCATGCAACTCCGCTTCCTCCGTATTTCTTTCTGGCCAGATCCACCTTGCGCTCCGCAAATTTTCTCCGCTGACTTCGCATCTCTCGTCGCGTCGCGGACCGCGGACCGCGAGGGCAGCCGGTGGAGAAGTGTCAGCAGACCGTGGCAGCGGATCTGAGCCTCAAGGTGGCGGTCTGCATGGCCTGCGACCTGGAGACCACTCGATTCACTCGCTTCGTCCGTGGCTTTTTGGTTTGGAGGATCGCTGCCATGTGCTTGAGAATCGTTCTTCTTTCTTTTTTTTCCCCTAGTGGTTCTGAAGGGAATCGATTTCACTGGACAGATTTTCTCATGTTTTCCGGGGGACTTAAGCAAATGGAGGGATGGAAGTGTCGAGCGTCGGATGTCCCAAATTGGGGGGCCCGGGTTTTTTGGTTTTTTTGGTGGGGTGGAGCCAAAAGACCCGAAAGAAGGTGACAATATGAATAAACAGATGCGAATTTGGGAACCAGATAGTTTGGGGTGCAACTCAAGTCGTCCGTGGGTTCAGTTGGAACCGTTGTGTGCCCGTGTTTTGTTTGGTTGCCCTCAAAAAATCGAATCCACCTCCAAAATGTTGGAAATTCGGTTCAGCCCCCACACAGAATTGCTTCTTCCAAAACGGGATCAACCCTTCAAAAACGGAAATGCGCCTCCCAAAACGGGATTAACCCTCCCAAAACGAGATTAATCCTGCAAAACGGTATTCACCCTCCCAAACGGGATTAACCCTTCAAAAACGGACTTAACCCGCCCAAACGAGATTAATCCTGCAAAAACGGTATTCACCCTTCAAAAACGGAATTAACCCTCCCAAATGGGATTCCCCCCCCTACAAAAGCGAAATTAACCCTCCAAACGGGATTTACCCTTCAAAAACGGAATTTACCCTCCCAAACGGGATTTACCCTTCAAAAACGGAATTTACCCTCCCAAACGGGATTCACCCTTCAAAGATGGAATTAACCCTTCAAAGACAGAATTATCTCTTCAAAGATGGAATTTACCTTCCACAAGCGGAATCAGAGCCCACAAACTCCCTGTCTCCATTGACGAGCCCGGATCCGTCTCGCGCTCGGCCGCAGGAGCTGTTGGCCCAGGCGCTGCTGGCGCTGTCGCGGCGAACCAACCAGGCGCACATGCGATTTCTGCCAATCGGATCCCCTGAAACGTCTCCCAAAGTAGGAATCGGATTCCCTGAAATGGGTGGTTTCCCTTATTTGGTTTCCTTTGAATCCAATCCCAAGAGGGGTACGCTGAAGAAAAGAAGCACGCGTTTCACTGTTTCACTGCGCCTGGACTCTTAAGCTACCATGAAACATGCTGTGTTGCCCCAGCATTGTGGGGTGAATTCCCGTGTTGTCCAGGTATATGTGATTAGGGAATGTTGACAATGGGAAACTGGAACCTTGCATATGTAGCCAAGCGGTTTCCCACCCTTTAAGCCCAAAACTCCAATTGCGAAGGATTTTGATTGAGAGGCAACCCCTGTTAGTCGGAATTGAATTAATGCTCGTGGCAACACCCAGAGGTTCCGACGTTTTTTCGTGGCTCTGCAGCAGTCCTGCATGTCCCTGTAAAGACAGGGACATATAATTGACCTTTTGGACCCACTGTGGCTAATGTGTAGTTGATTTTAGAAGCATGGTTGATCATACCAGGTTTCTTCTATCGCTTGAAAGTGTGGTGTGGCTTCGATAATTACAGCCATTTGTTTCGCAGAGCAAACCACCAAGAGCGAACCAGGGGACACCGCTGGATTTGGATTTGTACCAAGAAGTGTTGATTTGGATTTTGCAAAACAACGGTTTACCCCTGCTTGGTCTGGATATAACCAGTTTGGCTGTTGTGTTGGGTTATGGTGAGTTTTCCTTTTAGTGGCTCTGGGCGTAAGATTGTCCTGGGTAACCAAGGGCTTGTAGGTAAGGGCTTGCCTCTCTTGAAACAACAAATTAGCACAAAGCGAAGGGTTACCTACAAGTTGGCTTGCCTGGGGAAAAAATTGGGGAGGTGTCCTCTTTACGGAAGGTTCAAGATATATAAGACCCTGAGGCCCCGTTTGCACTGGGTTGTTTGAACTACCCTGAAGCAAAATTAATGACGCGCCCTGGAGGCGCTCGAGGTCCGAAACCTCCGGGTGCAATGCCTGGGGCAAGGGTCCGAAACCTCCGGGTCCTATGGTCGGTGGGTTTGTCCATGGGCCATTGAAGCACCAGCATTGAGTCATGAGAACATGATTGGCCCTTGTTGCTTCAAGGATCCCATGTGCCACTATGGATCGATTTGTCTGAACGAATGGTGAAAACCACATTAAGCCATGATAGGAGCCGACAGTTCGTATGTGTTTAGCCTTATAGTAGTTCACCTTCAGGATCTATCGATAGATTTCGGCCTCGACATATCTCTGATTTGAAGACCCAACACACCTTAAGTGGTATGGAATCGAGCCATACTGTGCATGGACGAAGTCCGTTTGCACCACTTTGAACCTCGGTTGCCACCATAACGCAACTGTTGATTTTTTTTCGTTGGGAATCGAATCAGAAACCAGGGTTTCTGAACGGTAGTGCCGCAATCATCCACCGTATTTCTGCTTGAGAGTGCAGGTGAGGAATTAATTCCTAACCATTGAACCTGTCTCACCTTGAAGATATCTATGTCGGTCTCCATGAAGGAGCCCTGACCACAACTAGGTCCCCCAGTTTCCTTTTACCGTTTCTTTTTGGGGGGAGGGTTCCCCTAAATTAGACCGCCAAAAAGTTGGTAGCAACTTATAACCTCTCAAATCTGGAGGACCCAGTTGGGTCACTGAAAACAGGGAAGACTCGAGGCCGAAGAAAATGGGAATTCACCCCATAGCTTTGGGGCAAGAACCACTTGGATCGCCTGCTGAAACCCTCCAGACCCAAACAAGCCCGGGCGGTTGCTGGTCCCTGCGGAGGCTGCCCTGGCCAGCCTCAGCCACTCGGGCCCTCGGGGGCGGGGGGAGAATTGGAGGAAACAAATCGGGTGGATTGCCAGCCGGACATGGTTCAACTTAGGTTTTCAGTTAAGGTTTTGAAAGGAGGTGTCCTTAGGTTTAGGCTCCTTGGTTGTCCAGGTATTCCTTCCCTGGAGGCTCACGACCCGAATCAAAAATGGGCCCAAAGACGCTCAGAAACATGCCCTACCAGGTAAACGACCCCTCGTAATCCCAATAGTCAAGGCGCCGATCTTTTGGCCCTAGTCTGCAAGGAACACAAGTGAGAACCAACATTTACCCTCGCAAGCAAACTTGGAACGTGAAAGGAACTGCTCATGGAAAATCTTTCAGGTTCCTCCTTTTGCTTTAAGGGTCTGCGAACCCGGGCGGTAAAGCCCCTTGGAACCAAGCACATCCCGAAAAAATCAGAGGTTCACCAGGAAGCGCGAAACAGAATCCGGGAGATGATTTAGCTGGGCCTGGCTTGGGAGCCATTCAGTACCTGGAGTGTTTCTGGAGTCTTCCCAAGGACCCAAAAAGAATTGAAGGGGTACCCAACAAAGGTGGGTCATGACGCATCGACCTGCGATCTGCGCGCGCGAGAGGTAGAATGATACCTAAGGGAATTATGCCATCGGGTTTGACCATGGGACATGTGAGGATCACTCAAAAATGTCCAAAGTCTGGTCCTTGCGAAAGGAAAACACATGTCACACAAAGGGCACAAATTCTCCCATGTCCTGTTGCACTCTTGGAAAAACCAAACCGTTTTTACCGTGGCTCATGTGAAGTTTCACGGCCCTAGTCATGTATTCTTTTTCGACTAATTGCACAGCGGTTGCCCCTGTTCTGAGCTTCTCAGAACCAGCTTCAAAGGGCAGAATGCTTTGTGTTTGGTAAACTTGGTGACCCACTTAGAGATACCAAGCATCCTCTTGACTTTCGCCTGACTTGGTTTGCACAAATTACCTCATGCCTCCGATGCCTCATGCCTCCTGGAGCTGGTGGTCTTGAAAGGAAAAAATGTGGATTGGTCTCATGGGGATCAGGGCAACCGATGGTTCTTTGATGTCCCTTCTATCTCAACCCAAAAAGGCAATCCTCAAAAGCAGAGAGACCTAACGTGTCAATCATGGCCTTGTAAAGCCAGAATTGGGTTGTGCTTTCTCTTGGACCCAAGTCTGGATGGACAACATCCCGCACGAGTTGGTAGGTGGCTTTTCCTTTTGGTAAGTAAACGGGAGAGCGTTTTTTCTTTTTCAACAAAAAAAACACCTAAACTTGCTACCGGTTTTGGCTGGTTTTAAAGGGGAGCCCGACGGAAGCCCACCATTGGGGTCCGAGCTTAAAGACGAGGCAGGGTCCAAGTGGCGCAACCTGAAGCCCTGGCTGAGGCTTCCGTATCCTGTTGCAGACGGCGCAGCGTGAGACCGTGCGCAAAGCCAAGGCGCGTGGGTTGAAGCCGAAAAGGGATGGGGGATGTTGAAATGGGCTTCCCAAAAGCGGGGGAGGGTTGGCATGCCAAGATACCAAGGCCATGCCAACATGTTGTTTGTTGTTGGTGATAGACATTGTCGTCTTATTCCATGTGTTAGCCAGTTGGAAGTCTGGGTGGGGTTTGGCCCGAATGTAGTCCGGTTCTCAGTTTTTTTTTTTTTTTTTTCCCTGTTGGTTTTAAAGGGGATGTGTCACTGCTGGAAATACTTGCTCTTTTTTTCCGGGGGACTGAAGCCATTGGACGTTCAGAAACACCCAAACACCACCTTTTCTACCAGGGATCCTTTAGATCAGCCACATCCGTTGGCTTCATCCAACGGAGAGAGAACTGGACCATAAACGCCATGAATTCGCGGAACCCATTAGACAAGTCGCATACTCTAAATTAAATTAGGAATTTAGGGGGCCCCCAACATTGGTGGTTTCCCTTTGGTTTCCCTTTAAGCCAAGCACCTTACAAAGAAGGGCCACACCTAAATAGACTCTCCCTGGCGTTCGACAAACATTAAAACCCTGGGTTCATATAACCACCATGGTTTACGCAAGGATTGTCATCATCCAAATCGGTCCTTGCCTTTCTTTTAATGCGGGCAAGGAACCCTGGAGCTCTTTTTCAAGGTGGACATTTTATGTCCAGCCAGGCCCTCCAAGAAGTCCCTTTTTGTGTTCAGTATGTACCTTTCAATGGAGGTCCCAGTACCTTCAGTGGACGGTCCTTTCTGATGCCTGGGGCACTTTCGGGTGGCGTCCAGGTAGGCCCGGAAGCCTAACTTCCATTAAACTCAAGTGCCCCCGGAGAAAACAAACAACGCGAACAACTCGCGGTGATCGATTCCCAAGCCAACAGGGGAGATTAAACACCCGGACCCTGAAAACTCCCGTAAACATGGTTTAGTGCCACCCAAAATGATGGTTGGCGACTTACCGTTTTGATGGGTAGTTTGACCAAGGGTCCAGGTCCCTTGAGTGGATGCCCCTTTTGTTATGGCAAGTAGGGAATAAGTTGGAAACCCTGCAACTTCCTATGGTTTCTCGGTTCCCAGTGATCGGGCTTGAGCTTAGTGGAGATGTCCATTTAACCCACAGGTTCAACACTTTCTTGCCCGGGCTCAGAAAACAAACAGCCCAGGTAAGTGGTTTCCCACCAACGGGAATTCACCTTTGCTTTCCTTGAGGCATAGAGGTCTCAATTGGCGGACATGCCGATTCCAGAAGACAAACAGGAGAAAAGGCGACATCACCATACCGATTTTCCTGTTAGGTCATTTGAAAACGCCCACTCCAAGGAAGCAAGGGCCTTGGGTGTATTGGGAGAGTGTGGGGGAAAAACCACAGTTCTCTCTCATGGCATTGCACTCCCTCCCACGTTGCCATGGCACCTCACACAGGGCCCATTGAAGAGGAGGTCGCTCTTTCAGGTACCCTCCCACAGATGCTATGATAGTGGGAGGAAGGGTAGCTGGCTTAGACACACAGGCTGGCTTCCCTAAAATGTAGCCCGCATGCTCGTGGCCTCGCCATCCAGGAGCGTTGTTGTACCCTCCCACAGACCCCCACAGTGGATTTGAAGAAATGTTTCCAAGGAAGCGTGGATGGGCCTCGGGTGTATTGGGAGAGTGTGGGGGAAAAACCCCAGTTCTCTCTCATGGCATTGCACTCCCTCCCACGTTGCCATGGCACCTCACACAGGGCCCATTGAAGAGGAGGTCGCTCTTTCAGGTACCCTCCCACAGATGCTATGATAGTGGGAGGAAGGGTAGCTGGCTTAGACACACAGGCTGGCTTCCCTAAAATGTAGCCCGCATGCTCGTGGCCTCGCCATCCAGGAGCGTTGTTGTACCCTCCCACAGACCCCCACAGTGGATTTGAAGAAATGTTTCCAAGGAAGCGTGGATGGGCCTCGGGTGTATTGGGAGAGTGTGGGGGAAAAACCCCAGTTCTCTCTCATGGCATTGCACTCCCTCCCACGTTGCCATGGCACCTCACACAGGGCCCATTGAAGAGGAGGTCGCTCTTTCAGGTACCCTCCCACAGATGCTATGATAGTGGGAGGAAGGGTAGCTGGCTTAGACACACAGGCTGGCTTCCCTAAAATGTAGCCCGCATGCTCGTGGCCTCGCCATCCAGGAGCGTTGTTGTACCCTCCCACAGACCCCCACAGTGGATTTGAAGAAATGTTTCCAAGGAAGCGTGGATGGGCCTCGGGTGTATTGGGAGAGTGTGGGGGAAAAACCCCAGTTCTCTCTCATGGCATTGCACTCCCTCCCACGTTGCCATGGCACCTCACACAGGGCCCATTGAAGAGGAGGTCGCTCTTTCAGGTACCCTCCCACAGATGCTATGATAGTGGGAGGAAGGGTAGCTGGCTTAGACACACAGGCTGGCTTCCCTAAAATGTACAGCCTCGCATCCAGGAGCGTTGTTGTACCCTCCACTAGCCGGCATGCTCGTGGCCTCGCCATCCAGGAGCGTTGATAGTGTACCCTCCCACAGACCCCCATCCAGTGGATTTGAAGAAATGTTTCCAAGGAAGCGTGGATGGGCCTCGGGTGTATTGGGAGAGTGTGGGGGAAAAACCCCAGTTCTCTCTCATGGCATTGCACTCCCTCCCACGTTGCCATGGCACCTCACACAGGGCCCATTGAAGAGGAGGTCGCTCTTTCAGGTACCCTCCCACAGATGCTATGATAGTGGGAGGAAGGGTAGCTGGCTTAGACACACAGGCTGGCTTCCCTAAAATGTAGCCGGCATGCTCGTGGCCTCGCCATCCAGGAGCGTTGTTGTACCCTCCCACAGACCCCCACAGTGGATTTGAAGAAATGTTTCCAAGGAAGCGTGGATGGGCCTCGGGTGTATTGGGAGAGTGTGGGGGAAAAACCCCACCGACCCCCCCAGTTCCAAAGGCCGCGTTTCGCCCGGGGGCGGTGGTTTCGGTGAGGACCTGGGCGCCTTCCGCGCGGCGCGGCTGGGGGCCTTCCTGGCGGCCGCGGCCTGGCCCTGGCGGCAGGCGGGCACGGGTTCGGTTGAGGGGGTAGCTCACTTGAGTTCATGAGCTTCAGACTTTTTGGGTTTGGACCGTTTTGGTGGTAAATGCAAAGTTTGGACATTTTTGGGGCCATCCACTCAGGCAATGAGGTAATGTTCGCCCCGGATTAATACACCCCTGGTTGATTAATAGGGATTCAGACCACTTTTGGAGGGAACACCCCCCTAATAGTGGGACGGGTTTATAAATCCGGGGTCAACATTGCCAAGACTTCCCCGTTTTTGATGGTAAGACTCTATGCGTCAAGAAGGGGTTTCTTGGGTACCAAGCATTCCCGGGAAAGAAAAAAACCATGTGTTCTGGCTTAGGGGAGCCAAAAGGCGAAATTTCGAGGGCACCATTCCGAATCTCTTTGTGGGGGTGTGAAAGGGTTTTGTGCCAAAAGAAAAGCCCATGTTTTTTGTGGCTCGCTGGTTGGAAACCAAAAGAACTTGCTGGTGCGCACCCAAATTGTCGGGAAGGAAAGCCAGAATTCCCTTTAAGGAAACCACAAGGGGTGGTTTATGGGAACTCATTCCCTCTTTCCCTGCTCAAAAACCGGCCAGAAAAGAATCCACCCAAAAGGACAAGTTGGATCCGTTGTGGTCTCGGTACCCTGGGTCTTGGAATCGGTTTTTCTGGGATAGGAGGAAACCAGAAGGAAGCCAAGCACAATCAAGCCATTGAACCCTGAGTGCAACAAAATGCGAGCACCCTTAGAGTATCACTCATATGTGCATTTAACGTTAAGATTTGGTAAGAAATCGCTGGCACTAGCATGTACCATTTGCCCGAATCCAAAGGCCATCGATTTCGGAGATCCCGATTGGTCGAAAGTTTGCCGTTCGAAGCGAGCTGCAAAAGTGAATATGCTGGAGGAACTGCTCCCGTCCAGGCAAACAAAAGGGGGGGCAATAGCAACCCAGTGGTTTCTCCCCTTTTTGTGGAGGGGGTGAGGTGTCCCCTTTTGTTTCACGCAAACCAAAAACAGGGTGCGAATTTGTGTGTTTGTTTGCTTTCTCCCTTCTGCGTGTTGTTTTTTGTGTTCCTTGTCGCTTGGGGCTGCTTCCACGGGTTTCGTTTTCCCCGCGTTCTCAGAGGCCATGCTGCAGCCCTGGTTTCTGCCAGAGCTGCAGGCCTTCTGCTTCAGCGACGCGGCGTTTGGCACAGCTTCAGGCGAGATGGGCCGATGGGAGCGGGACACACGGACGGCTTGGGGGGAAGGGGGGGGGGAGACCTGATGTGAGGTCTTGGAATGCTCTGGACCCGTACCAACCGTGAAACTGCCGTGAAGCAGGGAATTCACACTGAGGGTTCAGGGGTATTGAAGAGAAAACAGAAACAATTGGCTTTACATTCATCGCGTAGGTCGAGTGCCATGGTAGGTTGCCACTTTCCGAGCGGCCAAGCTTAAGGAAAGGCCCTTTAAAGTGAGGCCGATTCATTTCGGTATCATGGCGTGACTCTATGGCTCCGAAACAGTCCGGTTCCTGGAAGTCAAGCCGAGTTTCCTCAAAGCGTTGGCCATGTTGGCCTCTGGAATCGCAACCTTGGGAGAGTAGCCCCAAAACTGGGCGCTGGAAAGACCCGGAGGTTTGGCCCAAATGATGCATGGAGGGGTCTTCCACGCTTTGCAAGGAGGCTTGGGCCAACCCCTTGTTGAGACATACAGATACGCTTCTCTTTAAAGCGTGCAAAGACGTACCGGGCAACAAAGAGACCCACGTGGCTTTTGCGCCAACTAGGTGTTTAGTCTCTGCAACCTTGACAGAGCGAACCAAAATGCAGAGAGTACTTCAAAGCAGTTCAATTCCCACCCGAGGGCAGTTTGATTTTGGATGTGCCGAACTCCCAACATGTTTCAAATGGAACAGATCACAGGATTTCTGGCAAAAACCGTCCCCTTGGATTCTGCAACTTGGATGTATGCCAGGACCCCTGTTCTTCAACTGCACCTGAAGCACTCCAGATGCTACCGACTCAACTGGGCAGATGGTAGTGAGGAGAACATGTAACCACTTCTGCGTTGGCGGGTGGTGCTGCAGCCGACCCACTGTTCTTGGATCAGTGTGTTTGTGTTTGTTTTGGTGTTTTGGTTCCGTTCGTATATATTTTGCGGGGGGGGGGGGGGAGGGGGGGCGGCACACACACCGTAGCACGCGGCGCGGTTCTTTTTGTTTGCAGAGCCAACACCAGTTGAGTTGTGGAGTCCTGGTCGGCCAAATCGCTGCCGAGAGGTTATGGGCTGTGGCTGAGCTCGGTGACAAAGACAGAGCTGGCTCCGCCATGGCCAGGCACGTGGGCGTGCGTGTCTCTTTTGTTTTGGGGCAATAACCTTTTTGTTTTAGCAATTTGAAGGTCCAATTGGCTTGAAAGAAAACCGAAAGTCCCCCAAGAGGAATAACGCAGACCTGGATTCTCAAACCACCCATAAGAAAGGGACCTCCCCTCCCTCCGCCCCAGGCCCCATGATGACTTCTGTCAGGCTGGCCTGGATTCTGATTCCATAGCGGCCACCCCAAAACCTGATCTTCCGGACTTGGAGCTGATCTGAGAAACATATTGGGATGGGATCTTGGGATCCATGGAGTATGAGGGAACTGTGGGCAGTATTCCCCCAAAAATGCCAGGTTTGCATACCGATGGCGAAAAACAAAATGCATCCTCATGTGGTTATCTCATCCCAATCTTGGAAAATACGGGCTCCCGGAAAAAAAAAGGAAGAACAAAACATGACATGATCCATCCCCGGGGAATTTCAACTCTGAACAAATATTCTTGAGCAAATGGCCCTTGCCTCCCCAGATGCCGTTGCTTGGTACGATGCGCCGCCAAGCAGCAGGAGCGAACATCGAACATCGGAGTGCTTCGCCCTGTTTGGGATGGGCGTGCCGGCGTTTGCAAACTTAGGGCAATATCAACTTCGGGTTGAAAAGCGCGGACCGTGCTAGTCTCCCGGACCGTGGGGGAGATGGATTTATGGTCGTCCGCAGAAATCCGAAGCCAATCTTGCTTAGTACCCGGTTGGTTTCCCTGGCTGTAGCCCACTTACAGACTTGCAACCATCGCTTAAACAAATCAATTGTATAAGTGGTTTGGCCGCTTGAGTACAGTTGGAGAATTCCTCAGCACTGGACGTACTGCATGCGCACGTACGCATTCCTTTCCCCTCGCCACTCCACCCCGGGTCCATGCCATCATATTTAGAGCCTTGATGCTTGCACCACGGCACATTGTTGGTATAAACATGCATTTGCGCAAATTCTAGGGACATTACTAGTGGGGTTTGTGGCCTCGCACAGGACAGTTTTTGTGTAGACAACCTTCATACTATTGTGTCAATGAACTACTGGAATGTACTCAAGTCTTATGTTATTCAGCCTGCATTGGGAGGGACATGGTCATGGCTGGGGGTATGAATCTTCCAGGGAAGCGACCAGGAAAATTGTTCTACATCAAAGAAGCTGAATGGAAATATTGGAAGTTGTTGTACATGAAAAAAGCTGAGGCACATGGTCATGCTACTGGTCACCTAAATGGTCAATAGAATGTGGTTGTGCAAATCGCCTCAAGGAACAGACGAGTCGTGACTCGCAAGAAAGTCACTCCAAAGGCGTCGGCTGAGTTTAGAGCACAAACATGTTCACCAGGTGCAAAGTATCCCAAAGGGAAGCCAAACAGGGAACTGGTGGAAAGTACATGGGAGACCACCCCTAGCCTCCAAACCGCCAAAACAAACCACCAACTAGGGGTAAGGTGGTGACTATTCGTGCCAAATAGTACATTGCATGCCCCTGCCATATTCCAAGTAAACCAACTCCACGAGAATTGATAGGGAATAAGTTGGGCACCCTTTGGTGTAGGGAACAAGTTGGACGTGTGAATTCAGCCATGGTTTGTGGATGGTTTACCAAGGCAAATCTGGGGCGAGCCAACTGGAAATCGGGCCCCGGGCAGCACCGGAGTTCCGCGAGTTCGTCGGATGGATCGAGAGGACCATCTTGGCATCCGCCTACGGGGGTCCTGAGTGGCTTATGGGCTGGGAGAGGCGGGGGGATGGGCCAATGGGGGGGGGGATCGAGGTGCTCTGGGTGACAAACTCTTGGGAACCCTCTGTTCAACTCTGCCATTTGGCGGAGTTCCCCCCAAGGCATCAGGATTTGTCCCTTTTACCCTGTCAAGATTCCGAAAAAGTTGCAATTATTTTCCGGGCAACTGAAGACCATGTTAGTGGCAAGCCACCTGGATCGCCAGTTGCTGCTGCTTTTCTCGATGCACTGTACCCCCAAAACCAGCAGCAACTTGGCTATCTAGGCAGTTTCACTTGGCCAACCCGAGAGGAGGTTTGTTCCAGTAGGCGACCCCCGGACCCACGCCCAGGAAAGTCCCAAGAGGGGCGCTCCGTTTAGAGCGTCTGGGTGGCTGCCCCGACCGCCGATTCCTTTCGGGTACCTTCTATGTTGCCCATGGGGCCTCAAGTGATTCGAAACCTGCAGTTAGTTCAGGTCTTGGGGCGTTCAACAGGGTGGACCAAATCCGCTTCACGCCATTTTGGTGGATGAAACCCTAAAGTTACGGGCACAAACAACCTCCCAACGGATGGGGGATCCTGCCGAACCACTGTAATTCGGGTTGGGCTCCCGCTACTCCTGCTCCTTTCAGGGAAGCGAGGCGCAGAAAGGTTTGGCTGTTTCCATGTGGGTGTGGCTCAAACTTAAACAGGAGGGGTTACGCAGGTTTTGGTCCATGCTTCCACTTACCAGGGCAACCCATTTTGTACCATTTTTTGACCCACAGCCATGTTGGCTCAGAAAGGGCCAGGATGCCCTTTGCTGCCCTCGAAATGCTTGCTTAAGACGACTGTGCAAATAGGACAATCAGCTGAACAACCCACTATTGATGAAATCCCCACTCCAACGGAATTGGGTTGCAGCCCCTTGGTGGTTTGACAGTTTTCTGCTCATAAAGATTCCTGGACTCTCAAACTACCCATCCAAAAAGGGAATCCGCCAACCATATATTTTTGGGGGGCAATAACCAGCACCCTCCAAGGGTGGTCCATTTGTACCTGCAGTGCTCTTGAGCCATTTTACAAATGGAAAAGCCACCCTTGGAGGCCTGCACAAAATCCCATCCACACCATGGCCCCGTGCAGGCCGAACGAGCATGAAGAAGTGGAGATCGGCTGAGCAGCTTGGAGACGGTCGTTCGGAGATTTGGTGAATGGACGAAATCCGAGACTGCGCCACGAAATGAGTTGCCATGGGCTTGACTGCTATTGAGTTGGATCTTTAGACTTGAACTTTTTGGGAAATCGAGGGTTTTCCACTAAACCCACAAAAAGTTAAGCTTTTGCAGAGGGGTCAACAGCAACCAAGTGGGAATGAAAACATAACCATGGGAAGGAAGACGCCTGGAAAGCTAGCTTTTTCCAGTCACTGTTTCGATCGGTTTTGCGGTACAGTGGATTCAAAAAGCAGCAACTGGCGATCCAGGCATAACGTCTGTTGGTATTTACGTTGGGCGAATCTGTGTTGCTGAGGTTCAGTCTATCAAACTACCTGAAAGTATTGAGCCTCGAATTCCCAAGCGCGCCCGAATTTCCCATCCCCCTCTCTGTTGGAGGGAAGCCAAAGGAAGCCACCTAGATAGCCAAGTTGCTGCTTTTTTCAGTCACTGTTGCTGGTTTTTGGGGTAAAGTGCATGGAACAAAAAGCAGCAACTGGCGATCCAGGCACCCATTTTGGGTGTCCTCATCTTGATATCTCCTAGGGAAGCCATCGGACCAGTTCAGTGCTGGTGTGTGATGCTGCGTTTTGGTAGATGTATAAACCACAAGATGAAGCCTCTTTCGGCAGTCTGGGCAGCTTAAAGACAACCCAGTTGTATGTGAAAGGTTCAATTGGCCAGACCAGTTTTCTGCTTAGGGGAAATCCTTCACATCTCGACCAAAAAGGGACTGTAAGGTAATTCGCAAGATCCCTGCCTTTGGTTCCCCTTTGTAGCTGCTTTCCAGTAGGAATTATGGAGATTTGGATTGTCCACAGATCTATGTATAGGTTTGACCCCTTTTTGGGTTTCCGGCAAAATCATCCAAAATGGTTGCCCTCTACTTTCTGGCTATTTTCTGGGCCTGCGGCCTCTAGCCGGCTACACCTCTTTCAAGTTATACCATGTCATGTCATGTTTGTTGTATGAGAAACGTATCCTGTACTGATATGGTTATGCATGTTGCCCACCCCAACCCCAGATGATGCTGGGGATGCCAGCTTCCTGGGCCCCAGCCAGGCCCCAACCCAGAAGGCTGACATGGGGTCGCGCCAGAGGCCCCAGAAACAGCAGCCCAAAAAGAGCAGCCCACAAGCCAGCCCGGAAACGCAAATGCAACAAAACACCGCAAATAGCAGCGTTTTGTGGCTGGGGTCGCGCGCGCGCGCCAAAAGGCCCGAAAACCAACGGGAAAAAAGCAAGGACCGCGCAGCGCGCGAGCCAGCCACAGCAAGAGCAAAACGGCCAGAACAACAGCCCAAGGCTCTGCACAGCAGTTTTTTTGCGGTATTTACAGCGTTCTGGAGAGCGAGGACCCAGCATCGCCGGCATGCCCGGCAGCGCTTGGCGCCAAAATGCGCAAAAATGAGCCTCGATTATCTCCCTCCGATACCTTCTAAAAACAGTGCTTCATGGGTTGAGAGGCTTTTTGGAAGGAAGTCTTGACGACGCAGACCAAGCCCCGCTGAAGCATCACCCAGGCCCAACCCCAGACCCTGACGATGTCAGCCACATGGCCTAAACCCTGCATATACGCGATGTTTTACGAGGGTTTCCCACAGGCAAGCAAAACCGTAAGCCCGAGCTGGTGATGCAGAGGTGACCAAGTGGCGAGGGTCGGCAGCACCAGGGTGCAGCCCCTATAGCTAAAGCTATCAGGCTAATTGCCTAGCGCGACACGCTACCCCAGGAGGCGGCCACCGGGCACCTTGCCCTTCCCGTTCTTTCATTTCCTTTTCTTAATTCCCGTTACTTCCCGGATTTGAACTTCGCTTCCTGTGCGTGTCTTCCCTGCATGTCCGACAGTTTGCTCGCCCCCCTTCACTTCCTTTCGCTTCATTTCCGTTTCAACTCCCTTCATTTCCTTGAACGCCCCTTCATTCGCATTCCTTTCCCTCTGTTCGTTTTAGTTCCCGTGACTTCCACCTTGCCTCCCATTTCACGTTAGTTTCCTGCACATCCCTTCATTTCTCTTCAGTTTCGCTTCGTCTCCCATAATTTCCAACAATTTAGTTTCCACGTCCTGCAGTTCCCTTCACGTTCTGCGCTTGCATTTTCCTGCATTTTGGTTTCTCTCCACTGCCCTCTTCATTTTCGTGCAATTCCTGTCGCTTCCATTTCGCTCACTTCCGGTGACTCCTGTTTTCCTGCATTTCCCCTACGCTGTCTGCAATTTTCAGCCATTGTTTCGCATCGCCAGCAAGCATAGCATCATCCGCATTTTCCGGGATGATGCTGGCAGTGCTGGGGGTGTTGTCCAGTATTAGGCACCCCCCAAGAACACTCGTTTTTGGACGCCGCGGGGAGATGCGACACAAATCCTCGAAACCAAGCCACAATTCCTGCGCCCCTTATAAGAGCGGGCCAGCGCAAAACGTATGCATGGTCGGCTCATGGTTGGCGGCACCTGAAGGTAAGCCCTCCGGGCTTGGCCTGCGGCCCGATCACGTCCGGTGGCCGGATTTACACGCTGACGCGACACAGCCGGGCACCAGGCAAGTTGCCCTTTTCTTTCTATCATTTTGACGCTTTCCGGCACGGTTAGAGGTTAGGGGCATCCATCATCATCCTCATTATCATCATCATCCTCATCATCCACCATCATCCATCATCATCATCATCATCATCATCATCATCATCATCATCATCATCATCATCATCATCATCATCATCATCATCATCACATCATCATCATCATCGTCGGCGTCATCACCATTCTCATCATCATCGTCATCATCGGCATCATCAGCATCAGCATGATCATCGTCATCATCATCATCCATCCTCACGGTTAGAGGTTAAGGTTGAGGTTAGGGTTAGAGGTTAGGGTTAGAGGTTAGGGTTGGAGGTTAGGGTTAGAGGTTAAGGTTGGAGGTTCGGGTTAGAGGTTGGAGGTTCGGGTTAGAGGTCAGGGTTGGAGGTTAGGGTTATAGAGGTTAGGGTTAGAGGTTAGGGTTGAGGTTAGGGTTAGAGGTTAGGGTTAGAGGTTAGGGTGAGAGGTTAGGGTTGGAGGTTAGGGTTAGAGGTTGGGGGTAGACCACCACTTAGAACACGCCTCGCCCCTTTGCAGAGACTAACTTGGCTTTTGCAAAGGGGTCGGCGGATTTGGTTGGAATTTTGGAACATTAAACTTTTTGCAGAGTTTTACAGCAATCAAGTCTAAAGAGCCAAGCCACCCATCTGCTTGTCCGAATTTCCTGCAGGCTATGCGCAGACTCTGCCGCGCGGGTCGTGCGCGCGGAAGAAAAGAAACGGAAGCATGGACCTCGCGGCTGGTGGCATCCCCGCGAATTTTCTTAGATCCCGTGAGTTTTTAGTGTGGACTTGTTTGATGGTATGGGGCTGTGCCTTTGACCCGCAAGTTAAGCTTTTAGCAGATCTGAGGACAGCCCGGAGCCAAATAATTGTTGGAGAGGGAAAATGATCGGTGTTCTACCCCTGGCTGGTTCAAAACACTTTGGGTGATGACAATCCTTAGACATTTTGGTGCATTTTGCTTGGATGTTAGGACTCGAACTTCTGGCCAACTACCTGGTTTTCCATGAAACCACCCAACGTTAAACTTTCAGCAACCGAGGAAAGAGACCATGGTGGTTAAAAAACGACCCCGAGCAGCGTGTTAGTTAGATAGCCGAGGCCCAGGGTGCTGTTTTTGGAATTTTCCAAGCCATGGGCAATGCCCTCAGTACCAGTCTCTTCAATCCATTTTTTACCGCCCGCCTGGATAGCCAAGCTGCGATCGTTTTTTTTGTTTTCCCCGGTCACTGGTGCGATCGTTTTTTGGGGTAAAGTGGATGGAAAAAGGCGATCGCAACTGGCGATCCAGGAGGATGCCAATGCCCCTTTAAGTGCCCACTTTAAGTGCACAGGCCAAGCCATGGCTCAAACATCATCATGATATGAGGTTCGACCCAAATGACCATGGGACACTTGTTTCCCGTGTAGTGGGAAGCATCGTCGTGTTAGTGGTGTTTTTCCAATGGTCATCCCGTGTAAAGGCCCGTTTGACCCCGAGATTTCATGATCTCCAAAGCTATACCAGCGCTGGGTGCGGAAGATCTTGAGGAACTGAACACGAGATAAATAAGGGGCACCCTTTTTGCAAAGCAGACGACCCGTTGCCGCCACTTTGCGAACGACCTTGACTGGGTTTTATAACTGCCCTGGTTTTCCCCAGGCCCCTCAGCCATGCGGATCACACAAATCCTGATGCATCCAAATCGGCGTCTTAGGGCGCTCACAAATTGGGTCTTTTCTGTGGGGCCCACGAATCGGTCGCTGAAGGGTTCTCCATATGACCCTCAAGGTGGGGCGCCTTTAGGATCCGATTCCTTTGACACACACCAGGTTCATGACTGATCCATGGCCTCGGAAAAGAATTCCTCGGGAGGGTTCCTTTTTGAGGGGAGCTACTGATGGTTGCGAAATCCATGTCGCACCACTTTGAAACCATGGTTGAAACCATTGCTTGGTATTTACGCTGGGGAATCATCAGAAACCAGGGGTTCTGAACGGTGATGCGAAATGGATTTCATCCATCCACAGTACTGTGGATGGACGAAATCCTGCACCACCTGAGAATCCCTGGCTTGATGATTCCCCCGCAAATACCAACAAACAGTGGACTCCCTTGGTTTCAAAGCGGTGCAGGATTTCATCCATCCACAGTATGTCCAGAGCATTTTGGCCATCCAAACCTTGAGTCCCTTGGCGGTTCCTTCCCGGCGAATCGCTCCGGTTTTGGCGTTTAGGTTAGGGTTTAGTGGGGGTTGTGAGGTCCGACGGACAGACATCTTCACCTCCAAACCCACCTTGAGTTGAGGCAACCAGGCAAAGAGCTTGTGGCTTGAAACCTCACGTGTTGGTGAGGCCGTTTTTTTTTGAACTGAACAAGTGAGTTGCCTTGAGGTGGGTGCTATTGGCCGGAGGAATTTAGATCCTACCCTGCCCCCGCGCCTCAACCACCGGAACGGTCTTCCAAAGTTTTTTCAGGTGACTTCGACTTCTAGTGAGTATGGTTTCGGTCCAGAAGGTCCTCCACAGTTCAGAAGATGACGCTTTGTGTTCGGGGGCAGGGTTCAAAATACAGCGAAGCAGGGAGAGACTGACAAGAGCAGTTGCCAATGGGCCAATCCCTCGGGGTGGTACAAAGGGGTTCCCTAAGGCTTCCTAAGGAACTCCAAGGAACCCTAGAAAACCCTGAAAAGGCCTGGGGCTCTCAACTACCCATCCCTATACCCCTTTGACGATTCCATAAATCTGGAGTCTCCTTCTGACCCTGTAAAAAAGGATCCATGACCCCTTTATTTTGAGCAATGACCAGCCATTCTTAAAGGGTCAGAAGGAGACTCTGTGAAGATTCAATCAAAGACGAGCCGAGGGGCCTCCGCGCCAGGATGGTGCCAAGTTGCCGGCCGGCATGAAGGCCCGGAATCTGTCTAAAACAAGTCGGCTTCGTTCCTTCACTCCGCCATGTTCACCGCCGTTCTTGTGTCTTATGCCGAACCCACCGAAACAATCGATGTTTTTTGGGATTTTGGAGTTCCCTCTTGGGTTTCACCTAAAATCATGCCGGGAGTTGTTTCTTTATGCTGGTCATTGTTAGTAAAGCTGATCAAGTCAAATGATAGGAGAATATCCTGCATCGTCATATTAGACGGGATGAGAATCTCAAAGTGCCCTGAGCATCTCGGGCCTTCAAAAAAGCCCGTTTGGAGGTCCAAAACCTTCCAATGAAGGTCCCCTTCAATGGAGGGTGATGTCTGATGCTTAGGGTGGCTTGGAAATAAAGGGCCCCCTGTTCAATCCTTGTTTTCAGGGGCTGTTTCACTTTCGGAGCGCATGGATCCCATCTGCGGATCTTCCACAATTTTCGTCCATTGCTTTTGGCACCCAAAGAACGAGCGATAGCAGCGGATCGCCCAAGGCTTCAAGGGAAGTCCTAGCCCGGAACTTCTTGGTGCGAGAGATGGGAATGAGAAATGGACTGACCAATAAAAACCAACCAACTGGTGGTTTCCCTTTGAGGGACTCCGCTTCCAGTTCCTTCAGCCTTGAAAAACGGCGGGCACTTGCTCCGGTTGGGCCTGGCGCGCGGTCGATGTTTATTCGCACTTGCCCTGAATGTGGCTGTGCGCTGACAAGCTTCACTTCAAGAGCTGCACAGTTCCTAAACACTTGTCGACCTGCTTGGCATCAGTAGTGAATATCCTTGGCATCACATGAATATCCTTCCTTGGCATTCATGGCATCACATTCATGCCAATATTCCAACAACCGTTCCTAGGCTCCGCAACTTAGCATGGGACCCACCAAGCTCGCGGATTGTTCAACTTTAGATGACAATCTTTAGGGAAATGGTTGCATCAACCTCCTTTGCTTTCATGGTGGTTTGAATCCCGCGGAGAAGTGATGGGTTCTTGAGTTCTATATGTTAATTGGTGAGCCGCGCAGCGGGAACCTAGGCGAATGAAGCGACTTCACCAGCTAGCTGTTTGATTCCCGTGGCTTGGAAGGGAACAAAACCCACGGTGTTGGATCACTTCCTGAATGAACATCCTGTGGCCGGCTCTTCAACAAATCAACTTTGTTCAACAACAAATCATGCCAAAGGCTGAATGTGTAAACCCAATTATGGCCATATGAATCCTGAGATCAGACCGCTTGCTGCTTAGTTTGCCTAGGTCCTCCAGTAACTAACGCCCTTTATTTACCCTTTTCGGGCTACTAAAATCGACAGAAAAGGATTGGGTACCCTTATTCTACCCTCTCTACTGGAGGACCTAGTTACCGTTCATGATGCCTTCCAGACCCAGCCGCAGAACTGATCCGATTGCCTGGAGGTTCTGTACACCACGGATGGCCGGGATCCTTTCTTGGCCCGGGCCGCCAGAAGTCCACGCCATGCCTGGGTTATCCCCACTGACTGGGTAAACCCCGCTGAAGGAGGCTGCTGTCTTTGGCGCATTTTGCTTGGATGTTGGGGCTTTAACTTTTTGCCAACGTTCCATTACACCATTAAAAGTTAAACTTTTAGCAGGGGAGCAAAATGCAACCGAGGGCTTATATGGTGATTCGCAGCTTACTAGCTTGGCCAACCACCCAAGCAGGATAGCCTATAACATGCGGGTGTCTAATTTGCTGAGGGTACCCTTTTGGGGGGTTCTGAGGGAAGCCAAAAGGAAAACTCATTTGGAAGGGGGGGTCCCCTAAACCAGGACACACGCACAGAAGCCTTGGTAACCATTCCTAGTGGAACAGTAGTCAATGAAAGGGGCGCTCACGTGAGACTCCTTAGGAAAACGGACCCGCTCCTCCAGGGTTGTGGAATCAAGGGGTTTATTCCCACTTCTGTGATACAAGTTGGAATCTCCCCCTTTATATGGAGGGTTAGTCTTTGGGAAGCCCTTTTTGTATCACAGAAGTGGATTCCATTTCCCACAGCCCTGCTCTCCTCCAGAAGGGTCCGAACCCATCGAGCAGCCCCCATTCTGAGACAGCTTCTGCGAACCTTTTCAGGAGGGTTGGACCTGGACGTGCAAACTACCCCAAAACAAGGGGAATTCTCCCCATATGTGTTTGGCAAGCGCCAATTGTTTTTTGAAGGTCCAGGCGGGTTTTTTGCTCACTACGTGGGGTATTTGATTAGTTGGACATGTCGGGACCCGGAAACCCGCTTTCTGTCAAACAAGGACATGTGTCAGGCATCAACCACTTGGCACAGAAAGTGTTCTTCCAGTTGCTTATGTGTTTTTGTTTACGCCTGGTTGCTTTGAAGGGAATCAATCACTACCTCAGTTGCCAAAGCGAATCGACCTGTTTCCACCTTTTGGTTTTCCGAGTTTCGCCCTTTTTTGTCATGGCCCCAAAAGGTTAACCTTTGATTTCTGGGTCCTTTGGGCAACTGAGCTGCTAGAAGTAATTTGTCTTGTTTTCTTTCCCCGTACGGCGAGTTTAACAAAAAGTCCGCAGTCAAGCCGTAGTTCAACCCCTTTCGCGCCACCAGCGCAGCAACATCTGGATATAATTTTAGCCAGCTCACTTGGGGCGATAAGGTCCTTTGCTGGGGGGGCGTCCCTTTTTTGAAGTGTGGGAATTATAGCTGTTGACTCTCCTCTTGGTTTCATGTGTACTCGTCCCTTTGAAGCCATCTACGGGTTTTCGCATTTGGGTATGTGTCGGGGTAGGGGTACCAAATACATGAAACAATGGAATCGGTTTTCCCTTG